CCCTCTCCCGTGTCTCTGGGTCATTTGTATATAGCAGTCAATAGGTCATTTGTATATAGCAGTTTTTCATTGCTTGGTATTTTAGATATGTCAAATAGCATTTCCCATCATCCCCAATCAGCATTGATACTAATAGTGTTAGGTGATCATCAAATTAGGGCCTGAAATGCAAGCAACAACTAACTAATGAGTGCATTCAGTTTGTTATTTTCTTTTTGGCTCCTCATGTTCATAACTGTGAATAAGACAAAAATAAATATATTGTTAATAATTTCCCCCCAATCTTGGGATTCTGGGCTTTTGCTTCCAAAAAAGACAGATATTGAAGCTTTGGCTGAAAATGGCTTCAAGAATCACACATAAGCACTGTTGCATTCTTGAGCCACTGAATTTTTGCATTCATGAGCCACTGAATAGAACAAATATAAAAAATGATAACAGTCTAGGGATATCATGCAGCATATTTACAATAATTCTCCATAATTTTAGTTTATTGTTCCATGTTGGCATAGCCAGTATGTAAAACTACAGTTAATAACCAAAGCTATTATAATTACTAAAAGTCACAAACATTTATCGAAGTGATGTTCTACTTCATCCTAAATAACCATCAAAATTTGTAGAAATAAAATCAAAAACAGAAATTAAGATAATAATCATGTACATCCCTTATTGCATCTTATTTAGTAGTATAATACCTCAATATTTTCTCTTCCATGAAACTGTCATCTTTAAAATTTAAAAGGGGATCTTGCACTTGGAAAACATTTAGTCGGCTCAAGAGTGTTTGCAGAGAAGGTAGACATTTAGCAGACTGTGCCAAATTATTAGTGAAAACAAGTTCTTCTTCAATATATAAACCTTAATAATATAATAACAAAAAAATCAATGTGACATCTTTATCAATCATTTTGCATTTTGAAAGATACCATAGAAATCTAAGTTAAAGATTTCTGGTTCCTTTTTCTTCTTGTTTTTACCGTACTTATGTATGTTTGTATGTGTGAACTATTTATATTGACTGCATTTTTATGTATTTTGGATACATTACATAACTTAATAATTCCTGTAGCAAAAAATTACTACCTTTTCAGAGATACAAAATTACAATCAAAATGTATTTACTTTAAAAAAACAGTCAATTAATATTTATGAATACATTGCATGGCAGATATCCCTGTTCCTCCGGATTATTTTGTTTGAAAGAATTATGATACTAATTCTGTGAGCCCAAGGAGGTTTTACATTTGTTTTTCTCAGACAGGAGTGGTCACTACAGCATAGCAAACAGATTTTGGAGAGAATCTTTACAGATGTTTGCAATGTTGTGTGATGATTTGTTGCTCTAAGAAAAAAAAAGATCATACACATCTTTAGTTTAGTGGAAACTCTTGAATGAGATATTCCTTTTCTCTTTTCTTTCTTGTCTGTCACATATATCCATTTTCTTTTAGTTTTAAAAGGATTAAATTAATCATTATCAAATTAGTGTTTAAAACTATTTCTTCTCCTTAACACCTGGCAGTGGTATTATTGCGCTAAGACTAGGTAGAACTCATATTCCTATTAAAACAAATGAATTCCTCAGACCATAGATTTAAAACACTATCCTCCAATCTGTGAAGCAGCACAAAATATACCAGCCCGAACGTGCTGGCCTTTATTCTTTCTTGTTAATGAAGGCAATGAGTAGTTTGGTCTGAACAGTTTAGCATAAACTATGTCCTGACGGCAGGGAAAACATACACCGCCTTCCCAAATATGGACGGGAGCTGGGGAAAGAGTCAAGTTTAGTGTGGTAGGTTTAGCCCAACTGTCAGAACTTGATCTGTAAGGTGAGAGTTTCTGATTCTGCTTTACTGTATTGGGAAACTTTACCCATCCCATATATCAGTTTTAGCCTCTAGAACCCCACCTCCATTAGGAAGGTGGAAAACTAATAAAAGGAGTTTCCTTTCTTTTTTTAGTGGGAAATTCCTAATTCACATGGCTGCCGGTATCCCATTCAATATGTTACATGGGGGTACTGAGAGTTAAGATTACTTCAGTCATACACTTTTCTCAGAACCTCCTGAGAACCTTCTAGAGTACTGCATGGGTATTGAGTAGCGACGGAAGTGAGAGGATTCCTGCTATTGTCAGAACTGTGATCACACATCATCTGCCAGCACTATGCATTAAAAAGAAGTGCTGGCTGAAGCAGCTTCGGCACGCTCTCAATCCCCATGCTGCCTACTGACATATGACTGTTGATAT